TTAACAAAAAAATTAAACCGCCGAAAAAACTGAAAAGCAAAAAATAATAAACCTTTATATTATTAACCTTAATAACTAAGTTCTTCTACTAATGTAACTATACCTAAGTAATTTTGAGTCGTCGCTAGAGAATCAATAAACATAGATCTGTAAATTACCTTAAATTTAAAGAAATGACCAAATCAAATTAACAATGCAATGGTTATTTCTTTAAATTTAAGGCAATTTGGTGATCTTTGTTTATTGATTGTTTAGCGCCGTCTCAAAATTACTTAAGTATACTTACATTAGTTAAAGAACTGAGTTATTAAGGTTAATAAAATAAAGGTTTATTATGTTCTACTTTTCAGTTTTTTCGGCGGTTTAATTTTTTTGTTAAAAAGTTTTTTAATCAACAAAGCTTTACCACGTAGCTACGAGAGATTATTATCTTGAGGTTATCTGTAATTATTATTATCATAATTACTTTAGTGTATTAAAATTAACCCTGCAAAAATTCATCTAAATGTCTAATAATCGCAATGTTCCATAATTTTCTTTGAAGACGAATTTATCTTTCTTTTTGTGTACGTACAAACTCCTCTCGCTAAAACCGCTACCTATTTCGAAGCCAATAGGAAGCACACTTCCCTCATAATTTTCTATTTTAACTGTGTTTCATTGAATTTAATAAGCCATTAAATAACGAAATATATTTGCAAAACGGCAACCGTTGAAAGTTTTATGAATTTAGATGCACTTGCAGTTGGAATTGGTTAGATGCCAAAGATTTTAAAAAGTGTAAGTTAGGTACAATTGGCATCTTTATTAGTTCCTTCGGGGATCATTATCCTAATTTGAATTTTATCGCTGTTATTTTGACATGTGTTGTAGGTAGGTTTTTTTATTATTTTACAACTGTTATTTTTAAATGTAGCCTTCACTACTCCTTTTTTTATTGTCGAATTTTGTGGTAAATATGTTATTCATACTTAGAGTCAAAAAGGCTATACATAGAAAGCTATAAAAGAAGAAGGAGTTTCTTTTTATTGTAAACTTGGACATTGCTTGTCGGATGCTTTGTAAGCAAAGAATAAATACATATAGTTGGGACGTTCAACATTGGCATAGTCCACAATAAAACTATCGCATTTACTTTCTTCTTTCAACTTACTCACTAAACTACAGCGGTTGCGAACGTCTACTTTTACCCACGACACACATTATAGGGAATATTGTAAACATATAAAGGAGATGTCAGATAGGAATTGCAGCGGGCACTAATAAAGAAAAAGGAATAACATTACATCAATTGATGTGTAACAGAAAGGGATGCACACAAGCAGAATTTGAGCATGTTGCCAGCATCTTACTTTAAATAAAGTTCAACAGTCTTGGGAATTTAGGAATGTAAAGCGCTTGTTTAAATATACATATTGTAATGTTCGTGGGTTTAACAAATTAACTTCTAAGAAGAAAACTATTTATTTACACTAATTATTATTGAACTTAAAAACACTATTAAATTATTACTAACTTAGGTAATTATTCTATTTATTTACACTACTGTTACTATTCACTGTTCTATTTATTTCACTTCTATCACTGTCAATTTATTTCTTGATTCACTTCTGCAACGGTCAATTTATTTCTCCTCTACTCGGCGATCGTCTCTTCCTTTAAATACTCCCTTGCTTCCTGTCGGGAACTTTCTCGAGCCGTCCAGAAAAGTCTCGTTTTCTTTGAACGGTTTAATTGCTTTCCCGGAACGCAGGTACGACACACACGTTTACAGATACGGCGTACATGAAGAAAAGCGTCCGCGGCTAGTCGACGAATCGATAAGCCGCTCACACACACACGTATGCCCGATCGCACACAAACACGCTCGTGCTCGCTTCAATATAATTCCAATCAGGCAGTTATAAAGCCGACCCTGATCTTTTACGTGCCTAAGCATCCTCTTACTGTTATTCGGTTATCTCTTTTCACTCATGAAGTATTTCATAACTTAACAAGGAGCGTGTTCAAAACTCAGAAAATGACTACAAGTCCCAAGTGGAAACAAGAAAGAAGATACTCCCATTCTCACAGATAATTTACTTCGGACTATGCCAATTTTGATCGTCTTAACTATATATATTTTTTATGTTATTCTGGAATTCAATTAACACTTTAAGGTCCATCAAAATTATGATTTTAGGCATCTGTCACGAAAACGACTTTACGTAAGATGCTGCAAATTATGTACCTACTTCACCATATTTTCAGAACAAATACTAAAAATTGATCGTTGTATACGGTAGGTATTCGATAGTGTGAACATCGCCTAACGCAACCCCCGCATAATGCAAAATCCGTATTAATTATAATAGACCACGGTATATACTGAACCAAAACTAAACCTTCAATTATAGAAACGAATTTTTGTTCAATTCCTTACAATTAATGCATAACGAATGCTTTTATATTATAGTAAAATAAAATTAAAACAACCAAATACTCATTGTTGGCCAAATAGTTAATGAATAATAAATTAACTCTAAGTCATCTAGAAAGTACATCAAATGAAGATTTGAAACGAATTTTTTTAAAACTTATGCAATGGAAAGAAACACAATTTTCAAAAATTCTACCGTTACTAGATTAATTATGTCGATTTTAGAATAGCACCAGGAAAAAATCACCTTTACGTACGTTGTTGAAATTTAAGAAGACATATCTAGCGATAATTTGACCCAGATTTGGTCACAACCTTGAAGGTTTATTAATATCAACTAGAAAATTTTCAAATGGAAATTACCATTTTTAAACGCGAATTTTTGAAGAGCACAAAATGTTACGTTCAGATATAAATCGAAATTCTAGGTCATCATGGTCTGTAGGGTTCATTTAAAAATATATACTTATCGATGAGGAACAGCCAGTAAATTGCATAAAAGAAATGACCTCCACAAGAGTTGCTAAATAAAAGAAGGAATCTGATCTTGACCTTGAACAAAACTGCAACTTCTTCAGTGATTCTGCCACCTTTCCATTGTTCCAGTTATTTTTAACTATATTACTGTGTGTTTTTAATTGATTAAATATTAAAATCGTGGAAGATATTTCTTATTAAAACTGCAATTTACTAACTTAGTCGCATCAACAAATGATTTGACTTCTAGAAGTACTCGAAAGCTCTAGAGGTCATCATTCCATCATCATACCATCTCATATATAAACCTCCATCCCTCTCAGTTTTCTACCGTTTCTCATCACCTGCATCTTTTGTTTCCACTTCTTCATTTTTGCACCATATACCTTCTTTTTTACCTTCCATACTTCCTTTACTTCTACCTTCAATTCCATATTCTCTTTTATAACTCTTTCAAACTCCCTCTTCTCTTCTTCTCTCTTCTTTTCTTTTCCAGTTACATTTCCATTCTCTTTATTCTTTTCTTTTATTCCTTTGCTTGTTTCTCCACATGCTCTTTTATCTCCATCTCCTTTAATGCCATTTCCTTCACTCCTTTTAAGTTGTTGTCCTAGATTAAACCATTCCTTACCGCTTTCATCATTATACACTATGTCTGATCATTATTCCGGATTGTTTGAAGGGTATTATCCGTAGGCAATGTAGAGTGCATCTCGGCTAACGTAGTACCACAACGTAGATGTAAAAAGTACCCCAAGTAACGAGCCGGCAGTAGTTAAGAAATGTTACCGCGTTTTCTTATCGATTTTCGGCGAAACACACATACCTATTCTTGACCTTCGCCAACAGCTGACACATAGACGAGTGAATTCTAAGTAATGATCATTAATGCAGGTTCTGTATTTTTTTTCAGAGCATTAACTTTTTGTAACAAAACGCACCTTTTATCCATCAAAACAGTAAAACCTAAATCATGAACAGGACATAATTGTATTGGGTCCTTTTATTCTTAAATTCGTAAACGTTGTGTACATATTATTCCTGTGCCTCAATGGCTTCAACAACAATAGCAACATTCACGTGTTTCGTAATGATGAGTTCGTTTCGCGTTCGCGTCCGTTCCTTCAATGGCCGTTTCTGATCGTTTCGAATTAACATCCGGTCACTAAAGCTGTGATGTAGCGATGATATTTCGAAGAAGAAGGAGAAGAAGGAGCAGCAGCAGCAGCAGCGGCAGCAGCAGCATCAACAACATTATCAACGACAACAACAGAAATAACGTCAGACAAGGAAGTGGAGAATGGCAGCAACCGACGAGGAGCTGTCGTATTCTCATGGAGAAAGACCGCTCCGAAACCCCCTCCATATCACACGATCCAGGTCGTTACCCCATTTATCCCATCATGATTCAGGACTGGGAAGCTATTGCGGGGTATGTAAAACATATGTTATGAGGATTACAGCTGGGTGTGATTATTAAATTGGTAATTATGCAGAATTGGGGCTCCAGACCAAAATGGCTCCAAAAATTTTTTCTTCAATTTCCAGTCATTCTATATAATAGAATTAGATATTAAAAGGTGGGGGAAACAGTTTTTTATGAGTTCACAAAAAAAAATTTTTTTGAAGGTAATTTATATAGACAATATTTGGTGTGTTCTAGCAGTCTTTCGTATTTTAACTTATCATTTATTTCAAGAACATCTTAATAATCATCGGTACTATGATATCTGAATAGACCTATATATTATTGACAAGTTTAAGGAAAATTTATCATTACTTAAAAAAAATAACAAGTTCATTCAGCAAGATGGCGCACCTCATAATAGCGAAACTCGGAATTATTAAACACTACTGTATTTTTCTTAGTTTGGGAGCACATTAAAAATAATTTGCCCAAAAAAATCTCTGACAATTTGTATGAACTAAGACAAAATTTCATACCTATAGTATGTAAATTCAGTTTCATATATTCATATTCATAAGATCTAATTCATGTATTTAAATTGGTCTCAAAAGAAGAGATCGAGAAACCGCCATTAATTTTTTTTTTGTATCTCTTATAGTTACCGAGTTGTCTTGCAGAAACGTCAAAATTTGAGAACCTTGTTCATAGAGTCTCGTGGAGACCTGTAGAACTATTTCAAGTGTTTTTATTGTTACAGTTATTTACATTGCCTTTACCATTAATGATATTGGTATAAGTAGCATATAAAAGGATAATAACATAAAACAATTACAGAGGTAACACTAGCTTTCATAATTTATTCAAAAGAATTTGTGCAGAAATCTTTCTTCACTTTTTAACTTGTGCTTATTCAAGCGGTGCTGCTGAACGTTTTCCCCCAGTTTTGTTACCTTTGCGATGATGATTTAATACTAAACGCGAATTTTCAGGCAACTTAAAACTTCACTCATCTCTTTCAACAATTTTTCATCTTCTTTCCAACTTTCTGAACTCATCCATTATCACTTTCGAACGAAGTATTTCGTATCCTCATTGTGTCTTTATATCCGATTTTATATTCTTATTTTTATCGATTTTACCAATAGTTTTGTAAACTCTTGCCGCTTTTCACGAAAAGTTATTGTATTCTTTGTGTATTTTCGTACACGCTTTTGCAGAATTTATTAACGCAGAACTGGAAAAACCAATTAAATTAAAAATCAAAGTTTTGTAGGAACGTCTTCATTTATGATAATTTTTCGACGATGAGCTCAAATGTTGCCTAGACACATTAAAATTTTGAGATCTAATCTCAAAACGAAATAAGCCAAATTTAAATATTTGAAAATCTTGATACACTGGCCAAATTCAAATTCAGCTACAAAAGGTACCTCTCTTCATTGTTTTGTCCATTTACTTTACACTTTGTTTATGAAGTGAAGAACAATTGATCATTTAGTGAAGCTAACAGACGTGAATGGCTATTTTGAACTTATCGTTAGTTCTCATCAGCACGCTATAAATAGTTGCGATAAATCACCGATCACGCCGAATCTGTTAGTTAAAGTTAGTAAACAATTACGTACTAATAAACTTGTGCGCACGCTCGCAAGTGGGAGGAACTTTATTTATAAACAATATAAAGTAGTTTTTCGATGATTTTTTCGTTTTTTCTTCTATAACTTTTTCTAATGATTTAATCGTAAAAAGTTACATGAGAACGCTGTTTAGAATCACATTTTCGATAAAGGTAAGGGGGTCCGATGTTTCAAAGTAATAAATTTTCTTCAATAAATGAAGATTTATCCACAAAAAGCCATATCTTTAGTACCTACTTTTAAGATAGAAATTCGGCTACTATTACATTAAAATTTTGAGAAAAGAAGCCTATTTTTACAGTTATTACTCCTGCTAAAATTTTATCCTGACGAAATAAATAAATGAGCAAAAACTAATTTGTTAATTAAAATATACATATATAAATTTCATAATGCTACCAAATGTTAATCACTGGTCCAAAATGACCTGTGTTCACAAAGAATATGTAAGAAGTGTATCCTATCATATTCAGTTATTAAAGTTATACTTTTTGATTAATTAATGTTATTTTATGGTATTTTATTTTATTATAGTCGATTTTTAGGTAAGATATTTTTATTGATCCGAAATTAAAAGTTTTTTAATACATTTTCATAATCTTTTTATAAAATTATTAAAATATGGTCTGTAATCTGTTGAAAATACCAGACGCGATTCGAAAAGCAAGTTTTATTTTATTTTTTTAACAGAAATATCGTTCCACTATTAAATACCACCCGTCACAATGTTTTCCTCACTCACAAGTACCTATTCGCTATTAATTGTGTGATAATGAAGAAATAGTTAATAGTTAAGTCATGTTAAGCAATTAATTTCGTTGTACCCATTATTAAAAAGCTAGTCAATCCTCTATATATTCGGAAGACTCGATATACGAGGGTGGATTGATAAGTTTCCGGCCTGACCAAGAAAAACAAGGTTTTTAAAAATTTTTTTTTTTTATTTCTCAACATAATCTCCTCCAAGGCTGATACATTTCTCATAGCGGTGTTCCAGTCTATTAATGCCATCTCTATAGACTGATTCGTCAAGCTCCTCAAAATAACCATTTACAGCTTCGATTACTTCTTCATTGTCCGCAAATCTCTTACCGCCAAGCCATTTTTTGAGATTAGGGAACAGAAAATAGTCACTCGGGGCTAGGTCTGGAGAGTAAGGAGGGTGCGGCATCAATTCAAACTTTAGATCGTTGATTTTAGCCGTCGCAACGATTGACGTGTGCGCTGGTGCGTTATCGTGATGAAACAAGATTTTTTTCTTCGCCAGATGAGGTCGTTTAATTTTCACCTCGTGGCTCAAACGTTGCAATAAGTCTGCGTAGTATTGACCAGTGATAGTATTACCCTTTGCAAGGTAATCAATGTATATAATACCTCTTGCATCCCAAAAAACAGTAGCCATAACCTTGTTCGTCGAAAAAATTGTTTTTGCCTTCTTTGGAGTTGGTTTCCCTGGTCCAATCCACTGTTTAGACTGTTCTTTGGTTTCAGGAGTGTAGTGGTGGACCCACGTTTCGTCAACGGTTACGAATCGACGCAAAAATTCGCTTGGATTACGCTTATACAATGACAAATTTGCGGTAGAAATGTTTTTTCGAATCAATTTTTGGTCGACTGTTAGTAAACGCGGCACCCATCTTGCACAGAGCTTTTCCATATGCAAATGTTGGTGCAAAATATGTTGCACACGTTCATATGACATCTTACAGGTCTCAGCTATCTCACGCACTTTCAATCTGCGGTCTCCCAGCACTATTTGATGAATTTTTTCGATCATATCTGGAGTTGTGACCTCAACGGGGCGTCCTGAGCGAGGCCCATCAGAGGTGCTCACACGACCCTTTTTAAACTCGGAAACCCACTGCTTAACGGTTGAATATGACGGGGAGGATGTCCCCAGTGTTGAGTCCATCTCTTTTTTAATTTCCTTCGGCGTTAACCCCTTCAAATAAAAGTATTTGATGACAGCACGATTTTCCTGCTTTTCCATTTTTACGAAAACCACAGAGGCGTCTTGTTCAGCGTGCTGTCAAACCTACACTAGCAAGGAGATCGGGCTGAAACTATAGCTACAAGCTATCCAAGGATGGTACTATAGAATGTCACCTCAAGGTAGGCCTAGTGGCGTCATCTCTTGGTTAGGCCGGAAACTTATCAATCCACCCTCGTATGTGAGTGAAGCCTCGCTCTTGACCTTTACTTTCTTTTCTGCGATGAGAATGCCGCCTATTCAGTCCAAATATGCCCTCGTTTATAGCTTGATACAATCTGCATATTTAATTAAGCATCTGACAACATCGATCACTCAGTGTTGTTAGTGAATAATGGCGTGAATTCGAAAACGTGTTACATAATGGAACAAGTAGTTTTTTGCCTTGTTACTTCGGTGTAATGGTTTGACACCTGTCATAATTGTGTACCGATGTAAATCATTCCTTGTTTTTTTTACTATACGTCCCTTTCGTCTTTTACTTTTACACGATTTTAAGCTTTCCAAATTAAAGAAACTGGTCCGGTGAATAATAAAAAAATTATATGATACGGGCCACCTTTTACACTGTTATATGACGTATCTTGTGTTCCAATCCGATTGAAAGAGGAAGCGGATTTATATGCATATGTCATTCTAGAGGAAGATCTCAGAACGTCAGGCATTACTTATTTTCTGAGTAACAAAATGGGTGGTATAAAGTAGGCTTAGTATGCACTTTCAACGAATGTATACCTGATTACAAAATGTTTTAGAGAATATTGTTAAAAATTGATAGTCAACACTGCCAAGCACTTCCCATCGGCGGTAATTTCTGCTAGACACTTTAAAGTACCCAAAAAAAAACTCGTAATTTTACTTATTAGTCGTTTGGTTCGAAAAATAGGGATTACCTGGATGAAAGTATTCCGGAAGTTTTAAAAATTGGTAGTTTTATAGATTTTGATGTGCTCTTTCCGAATTCCAACTTTGCTACCTCGTATTTTTGCCATTCGCGCCGCCATATTGGAAAAATGGTACTTAAAATATCTCCTTTCCGACTTATTTTACAATAAAAACAGTTATATACAAAATGAATCTAGAGACAATTACCTGCAATTTATGTAACAACCTTTTTTTCGGTAAAATCAATAGTTTTGGCGTATGAGCGTCGCAAATTGTACTTCAACACTCATTTTGACCAAAAAACTCATTTCACCTTGAGGTAGAGTAGGCGGCCGACAATATCCCGAAATTTAGCGCATTCTCCTTTGCTTCGCTGTTCTTAGTGGACCAGGCGTTGTGAATTCATTGTCTGTAGTACCAGTCGAAACGTCACAGACCGAAATTTCATCCACATCATCTGCGATGGGATTATCAGTTTCATTGCAGTCCTCTTCGTTCTCCATTTTATTATCTGTTTGCTCAATAATAGTCTCCGTTTCTTTCTCTTCATCGCTATCTTGCGATGGAACTTTAATTTTAACTCAACCTTTCTGCATCCACAAGCTTTCTGACATCCATTTTTGCATTTGCAAGAAATAAGTTTTAACAAGTTTTGTGAAGCTAGAGGCTCGAGTGTGGTGACAGGAATTAGCCCTTTCTTGTTTTTTTCAATCCCCATTGCTCTGAATTTTGTTCATTCCCATACCACTGCTGAACCTAGTGGTAGGTTTGAAACGAATGAAGGACAGGTCATAGTAAGTCGATTTTTCAACGTATAGTATAATATCTATAGTCAATATAGTTTTTAGATTTAAATTAATTGTATAATTCGGAACACATTTGGTTTGATTGCTGTAACAAAGTAGGTTAGATTTAATCGATAATTTCTGGAGTGCTGATGAGAACTAGTACGTTCGAAATATCGATCTACGTTTTTTAGTGTCAATAAATTGCTGACCAAGAATTTAAGATTATTTAACCATTTTTTAATGAGAAAATAACTACTTTTACTGATTAAATGCGAAATTTCAAAAAATATGGAATGTATCGAAATATATACTATGTATTCATAGTATTGATTTATTCGTAAAATAACAAGAATATAATAGCCTTTCTAAAATATTAAAGTTCGAAATACACTTCAATTGGAATTTTCGTAAATAGGTACTGATTTTACCCATGCATGCATCTTAAAGAAAATATAAATTCCTATTTGTTTCCTGTTCTTATCTTTTTACGTTCAAGTAGAAAAGTCAGTGGTTTGGTTCATTTATATATACGCTCTTCTCTTATTATTCCTACTTCCAAATCATCTCCCACTTTATTTCATTTAAATTGAGTCACCTAAGTTACAAAATGAAAATACATATTTATAAAAATATTCCAAACAATAATATAGTGTAGTTCTTGATTTTTTTTATTTAGTTTGGTTCTAAAAATTATAGAATTCTGGAGCTGATGATGCTCCAGCATCTCGGGCAGCTCGCCTTGTTGCCGATCTCCGTCAACTGTTAACATTAAAACAGCATTATTATCCGGAGGGTGGCTGGGGATGGGTCGTCGTCTTCGCAGGATTTATTGTTAGCTTTTTAGGTCACGGCCTCCTTCTCTCTTTTGGAATGCTCCAAATGGAAATCGAAAGAAAATTCCAAATGCCTCTTCATCCTTCACCAGGTATTTACTGCTGTAACAGTGACGTAATTAACCGGTAGCGGCTTATACCTAATTATTTGACAAAGCTATGCATAATGATGTAAAAAAAGTTGGATTTGTATGTTAAACCGTCTAATCATGACGGCGTCTAAAATAGGTGCCACTTTGCAGACGTCATTGCTGCTGCAATTTGGGTGGTCGAGCAGTCTCTTCGGCAAATAAATATGATCGATTATAGTAGCTATAGCCCTGTAAATTGGTATATTATTTCATTTATAGCTTATGAAATTTTAAAAAATATTTGCAGAAATATAGGTCGTAACCTAACCTCTTCCAGAAGCGATAAAGCTACGAACAAAGAGTAAAAATTGGCATCACCGCAACATAGTTCTACAACTTAGCATATATTTAGAATACTATACTACTATGTAATTAAACTATTTATGAATTAGTATTCTTCATAAATGCAAAGTTGTAGAACTATGTCACAGTAATGTCAATCTCGACCCTTTGCAGTGGCGGATTATGCATAAGGCAAACTAGGCACATGCACACGCTACTGAAGCGAAACTTCTTCAAACATACCGGGATAGGGGTTAAGGAATTGGTGTAATGGTATTATTTGTACATTATGCTTCGCACGGGTGCAATGCTGATAATAAATATACTTACTATAGAATGTCTTTATATACAACAATCACAGCTTTATTGTCATTAGACAATACAAACCGGCCTCCCGGCCGGTACCGCCGCAACCGCTAAAGTCCCTGCATTTTAAGTCTGTGATATCTTCGGAAATATTCATTTAAATTATATACTGTAAAGGGCCATATTGATCTATATTAAATGCACAATGTATTTAAAAGTACTTAACTGGATAAGGATTAATGCTGCATTGCTTAAAATCATTTCGTAAATAAGTCATTATTTCTCGTAAAAAGTAAAGGATAAAATATGGTTATTGTGGGTTATCCCTAAGAGATAGACATATACCATCACGGACTTTTTTATAGACCTTTTTAAGGTGTACAATACTGTAGTATATTATTTTGATCTATCTCGTAGGCTTCAGCCTGCGTTTGCAATGTAAGCGCAAAAAAATGTGTTTATTTACGACATCACATTACAAACCTCTAAAATTATCAGTGTTTCTCTACTATATTTTGCATGTATTATACATATAAACCTTCCTCTTGAATTACTCTATCTATTAAAAAAAACCGCATTAAAATCCGTTGCGTAGTTTTAAAGATCTAAGCATACATAGGGACAGACAGCGAGGGAAATGCGTTGCATGATTTCGTTACATAGCAACTCGCATGAAACGAACTTACCCTACCGTGCGTAAAGAAGTTTCACTTCAAAATAAGGAAGTACTTACAAAAATTATTTTGCAAAATGAAATATGAACGCCACCTAGGACGCTCTTGACATTTAATCCGCCTCTGACCCTTTGTCCACCGCTTTATCGCTTCTGGGAGAGGTTAGGTTACAACCTACATTTCTGCAAATATTTTTAAAAATTTCACAAGCTATAAATGAAATAATATACCAATTTACAGGGCTATAATTGCAGCAATGGCGTCTGCAAAGTGGCCACTATCTTAGATGACATCATCGGAATCATAACAAAAAATAAAAACTATGTTCGATTAGGCCACATTTTTTGTAGCCGGCTTTTAGGCTACAGGCATTGATGATGATTCAAATTATACTTTTTATTTGTTGATTGTATTACTCTTTAATATGTTTAAGTACTTTTATACCCTGCATCGTTTTCATGTACTTTTTGGTATTTCCTAATTTTTGGTTCGTTTTAATCCAATTGAAACTGAAATATCTCATTTATTTGATAGGTTGGTTGGGAGCGATGTCAACAGGAGTAGCCCTCCTCATATCTCCAGTTACCATAGCGTTCTGTAGACGCAAATCCACGCGAGTAACTGCGGTTATGGGAGGACTTGTTACCGCCTTGGGTTGTTTATTTACCTCATTTGCAACTCAATTTCATCAGCTGTTTTTCAGGTAGGTAATAGCAGATGCATGTCTATAACAGTATAAAATATAATTTGTGGTTCAATATTTGCATCATGAATGCCGCACGGTAATGTTAGATATCCTCCTGGAATCTTTACCAATTTTTAATAATTTCCACTATGCAGCAAGACAATACCGTTTTGGTTCGCAAAAATACCAAAACTTTTGTGTTGATAAAAATTTGTGAAAAGCATCTGTCTTATATCTAACGATAAAAACGGATTTTTGTCATATACATTACAAAAAAGCTAACGGAAACGCTAACCTTCGAATAAAAAAAAATAGGTGCTACCATTTAAAAAAATCGGTGGTAGTCACTTATTTTTGGGTCACCCTGTACACATCAGTTTACCATGAAAACCCCCGCAAAGCAACCCCTGAATTTTAAATAAATTTGTTCTAAACCACGCGTCCTCGATGTATGTATAAGTGGTAAGTAGATATCTCATCAAGTGCTGCAAGGTTGTAGAATTACTAAAAAAGTTAAATATTTATGTATTTTTGATATCTAATGGGGTTGCTTTAACAACCTGAGGTATGACAGCGGCTACGAGAGGAAGTGGCTGGAGCAAAAGCGTCCTCCTATAGTTTTCGTTTGAAAATAAGATTTAAGCCCTAAATAAAGTTATTTACACAGGGACAATATTATTATTAACTAAATTTTGCTGGCTATAGCGTTGCATTGACGCTAATATTTTATAAACATAAACGGTTGATAATGATATACGTTCACAATGTTACAAAAGCGCTGAAAGCTGACGCAGGTTTTACTGTTTACCGATATACTAATTTTTAAAAAGATGACAAATAAGATTTTGTTAAATTCCGATAAGCTTCCGTTATAAAAAATTCGGAACCAGATGCAGAGGCGGATGTGAAAATGTATGCGGAAGCAGAGGTCTAGTGCAACACTACCTGCATGGTTGGTTCTGAAGTTTTTTTTATAGATATCACTCTCGAAAAAATTTGCATTTACAATTTTGTGTAATTATGTATCATGTACCTATACGACTTTAATTATCTAAGTTATGCTCTCAGATCGACTTACGTACGTTTAAAATAATATTGATAGATAAATGTATTATCTAAAAGATGGACGCAAAATTATTATTCTTTGAACATGAACTCATTATGTAAAGAAACTCGTTATAGAAAATGCGAGAAACTTTATGCGTCCTCAGCCTTTCTAATTTTCTGGAACGTTTACGTAATTGCCTCTTGACTGGAAAGTCTCATCATCAAAAATTATTATTATTAGCGATATCATACCGCTCACTAATCTTCCTTTAAAGTGATTGGCCCCGGGATACAGGCCAAATGTTACTAGGAACAGAACCCAGCCAACAGTTTTGCTCTCTTTTGATTGCAAGATAAGTTTAATTGAAAGAAGCGTAGCAATGCAAAACATTTTTTCCTTTTAGAACAGCTGTCCAACAATTTACAGTGGCAACAAATAAAAGACGTGTATATATGAGATTCTAAGACCATTGCTTTTAATTGAAAATATCTTAACATATCATTGGGGAAGATGTACAAAACACAGAAAAAATCCTAAGGAATAGAGTTTATTATACCAAATGCAGTGTAGCGCGCGATGCGTCTGCGATCACTTTGGAAGCTATCAAATTTAGACGTTTTTAGTAATCATGATCCCTGATATGCTGCAAAGGTACGTGACATCTTCGTCAACCCTTTGACGTAAGGGAAGGACAATTAAGTCAGAGGTTATTCGACGACTTGGTATTTCACAAGAAGCACGCAGCAAGCAATTCCTCCATCACCGACAACCTTCTACCTACTATATGGTCTGATCGCCTCCCAATCCAAATCCACCCGACCCTTGTCGCATTGAAAGACAGAAATTTCCGACACCATTATGGACTCAAGCGAATGTAAAGGTAGGGGACGAAAGATTAGAAGAAGTTGCAGCTTTGAGGTATCTAGGAAGTCAAATAAGTCAGAACGAAAGGAGTAGAAGCGATACGAAGCAGAGGATAGCGCAGGGTCGAGTCGCCTTCAATAAAAAGAAGTCACTTCTATGCCCGGGAACGATTAATTTAGAAATTTGAAAAAGATTGTTTAAGGTGTATATTTAGATGGTGGGCGCGACGGAAAAGAAAAGATTAGAAGCGTTCGAAGTGTTGTGTTACCGGCGAATGATGAGGATACCGTAGATAGAGGTTAGAAATGAAGAGACGTTAGAAAAAATAGGAGAACGGAGGACTCTATGGAAGTCAATAAAAAATAGGCGAGATGGGTTGGTAGGACAGCTTCTCAGGCATGAAGGTCTAGTCAGAAACATATTAGAGGCAGAAACAGGAGTTAAGAGGAGTAGATGTAGACCTACATTAGATTACTGTTCGCAAATAGTTAAGGATGTGGGATGTTCTAATTTCAGGGAAATGCGAAGATTAGCTCAGGATAGGAAAGAGTTGAGGTGCGTGTCCAACCAGTCTTAGGACTGGCGACCTTATGGTGACGATGATGATTATGAACTCAGACCACGAACACACTATAGCCAATGCAACCTCCAATAATGGTCCCACAAGACAAAACCTGGTAGAAATGGTCAACTTCCTCAAAATGGACCTCAACATGAGATAACGAATGTCAAGATCCATCTTCTTATTCTGACTATTGACCTCGCAAATAGACCACAGTCATATCCTCATTTGCTGATGCCGATGGATGGTCTTGGATTTGTAGAAATGCTTGGGTGGTTGTCATTACAAAGACAAAAATGAGACAAACGAAATGTAAACAGTAGAAGAGTGAAATACTATCTAATTACTTAATATTACCCTAGCATTTGTCTACACAGTCCTTGAAAACTATTAAAAATTTTGGATGAAGGAAAACGAACTAGTGTCTTCCCAAATGAGAAGCTATGATCTAATCACTAAACCATGCCGCGCCCCTAAGACGTTAAAGGGCAAAAATTAAATAGTTAATATATGATGTGTCAAATAAAGGTCCTCAGCTACAAACATGTGACCCAATTAACTGGTGCAGTGAAAATTAAATTGAAACTTGTACGTCAATGTTTGCGTTAGATAATCAATGAATTTTCAAAACCAACAGACATGGGTTGAATTTTTTATTTCTTAGTTCTCATCAGCACACCATACCCAGTTTCGATAAATACTACTCTTGCAGCAAATATCACTTCATGCCGATGTACTGTCTGTGGCTAGATGTATTATATCATCTTCCTCTTATGGCGGATTAATCGCAACTGCCCATGGCGTGCTGATAATGATTGGTAAGCCCGAAATCGTGGTCCACGTCTTACAGTTTCAATAAATTACTGGCCAAAAGCTCTAAATGTTCCTTACTTACTTTTTGGCTTTCTTTTCTAGAAAACGTAAACGAAGTAAATTACTAAATTTAAAGATCAAGAAGATCCTTGAATAAAGTCATATTTTAAAAATGATTGTTATAAAATGTTTATCTTTAATTTTTCATATCGAGAAACACAAGCGCAAAAAGTAAATAAATGCGGTAGCTTTTGGTATTTATTTGAACTGAAGCAGCTGATCAATTTTTATGACAGAACATATCGGTCTCGTAAAATGTTTACGACTACATTTACGGTTTCCCTTAAAAAATAAAGCAAATCCAGTGAATTGACATATAAACTTTATATTTCCTGAATAGAGGGAATGTTTCCATGCATTGTGAATCTTCTTGGCGCCTAACTGCATAATTCTGTTATTAAGTAAGATTTATTAATATTAATTACACGGACATATTTTTCTCCAAAACAATCCTTTTATATTATGTGAGTAAAATCATTTTAATTCGACGATTCAAATAATATTAAAATCAAATATATATTCGAACAAAACCAGCATCGATTAACATTGTTAAAGAGCTGTTGGACTCTGTCGGCGACGACCCAAATTTGCTCCAGAGGGTCATAACTGGTGACGAATCATGGGTTTATGATTATGACGTGGAAACCAAAGCTCAATCATTCCAATAGAAGCTGCCGCACAAGCCAAGACTGAAAGAAGCGCGCCAAGTTAGGTCGAATGTGAAGGTTTTCCTTACCGTTTTCTACGATTGCAGGGACGTGGTGCATTATGAGTTGGAGGAGATGAACAAGATCACAAAAATGATTTTTTGAAGTGCTTCGAGGATTGGAAAAAACGTTGGCACATGTGTAGGGATTACTTTGAAGGTGACAAAAAAGAAACTCATGAACAAATAAATAATTTTTGAAAAAAAAATTCGCGATTCTTTTTGAACAGATATCATACGTACTGTTTAATCGCAGAGTCGAACTGACCGGTCGCACAATCAGTTAAAGTTTAATCTTTCGGCTGATTGTTAAGCCAATATACAGGTAAACGAATGTAAATAAAAAGGTGGTTAAATTAAAAATATTAAGAATAATACAGCAACAATCCAAAATCTTAAACGAAAATATTATATCAATCATTACTGAAAATAAAGAGCATTGAGTTCTTGGGTATCACTTGATTGAAATTGCCAGATATGGATTGTGATTTCGAACATAGTTGGCTTTAATAAATGACCGACAAAAAAAACTTTTAGGTGTTCCTTTTCCACCAGCTACTAGCGCTCCTTTTAGGAACCATTGAAATAGATAGGTGGTAATTAGGCTGAGACAGGTGAGATGAATGAAGTGAAGACAGAAGAACGTGAAAGATTATCGCCCCAGCATTTGCCTGACTGATTCAATAAAATCATAAAGAAACTAAGACCAGAGCAGACAGACCCAGAATCGAAATGGTCTAAATGTATCTCTACGCCATGCCGCTCAGTCAAGAAAAATGGCCGACCAAACCAATGTTTCTCTGTATCAAGCAAGTTGATATAATATCAAAGTACAGTCAGTACATGGTCATTTACTAATGTATAGGTAGTTGGTAGGCTTTCACGGCCCAGAAGCTCTTCATCATCAATTAATGTGTAGGTGGATACTGCTTTCTGAAGTATTTCCTACGTCTAATAAGGATCTTACGAAGATATCTATATTTTTGACAAGGTGAATTTACAACACAACACATATCAAATAAATACAGAGCATGAGTTCTTGGTCAATAATTTATCGAATTTGGTACCTTTGTAGGGTCCATATTAAACACATAAAATGCAAGGTACAGAGATAATACCTGGACGTCGCCATTAACGAAAATATAAATTTTGATCTACAATTCCATTATAATGGTAACTTACTGTAATAATAAAGGTAAAAGTAAAGTTCTGCACTTTATCCTTAAAAATGTTTTTGAAGCTATCTATAAATAAAATTTAGCAAAGCGTTTTTGAAATGATAAAGTAGTTTTGCTTTTAATGTAATGCAGTGTCATATAGATGGGTACCTACGATATATGTATAGATGGATGTAGTTTCAGTGGTAATTTATAGATAAGGAGTCAAGTCGAAACAAGATTTGTTGGTTTCCGGTACAAAAGTCGCAGGGAGTCGCGCAGGGTCGTATTCAATTGGAGGCAATAAATTTTGCACTTTCAAATAAGCTCAACCCCTACAGTTAATGGAAGATTGTTGACGTGAACGTTCCATAAAATAAAAACAATGTCTTTTGTCGTAAATTGGTGCAAAAACACAAAGCCAGGACATAACCTACAGTTTAAAATTAGAAACCCATTACATTTTTTTATTTTTTATATCCACGTAATTCTAAATGTATTTCAAATGGCAAGTACAACTGAATCATCGAAAGAAAAGGATGTCGCTCACGCTCGGGAGGAATATCTAAATTCACAAGGGGTTGGTTATTAAGAACCCACTGTTTACTCCAATTTTATGTGTTTTTATTTTTTTATTTAGTCGTCCACTATATTGATTTTAAAAATTACTATCGGGCCGGTTGGTGTGTGTCCCATATAGGAAAATACGATTGGGTTAGGCGTGGACCAGATATGGTTGAACTACCGAATGATAACATCGGGCCTGGCTTGACAAAGAACCTTGGACCAAAGACGTGCCAGAGTTGGCCTAGTGACTACCGAACGGCATGGCCTAGAGATCTAGACCATTGCATTCGGGAGGACGCTGGTTCGATTCCGGGTCCGTTGCCTTGGTCCAAGTTTTTCTGTGGTTTCCTTGGATCACTTGGGCAAATGCTGAGGCAGTTATATTCCATAGATAATCTTTCAGTCTCTTCTGTCTTCATTTCGTCCGTCTCATCTTTCTCACCCGAACCACCACCCACCCATTTCCACGATTCCTGAAAGCAGGCTGAAGAGGGCCTTCCGCCCTACCTTCCGGCATAGTCCGGAGGGACTGCCCGCCCACCAGCATTA